TTCTTGTATCTAATGCTAATTTTTGTCCAAACATACTTATTTTACCCCTTGTATTTTTAATTAAGCTAACAAGAAGAATAAATGCAAAATTGATAATAAATTTTTGTCAAATACTTTAGAGCGCGTTAATAGAATATTCAGACGAAACTATCATTAGTGACAAAATGTTCTAACTAATGGAAGTTTAAAAGTAAGAATACGATGGGAAGCATTATATACACAAATCTGACTTAATAAAACTACAATTAAAATGTGATGAATTTATAACTAAATGTGGTGTCAATATAACCACTGATGATAATTTTATCTGGTGACTAATTGCACAAAATATTGGATATGAATAAATTAATCATATTCAGTCTGATGAGATGTATCCTTAAAAGGTAACAATCTCAAAATCGATGAGTTTATTACTTTAATTATTATTTTGATATTTTTTAGAGTGGATCTTAGTATTATGCTCTTTCGAGTAAAAATTCATGTTTTTCAGTCTTATATGATATATATTGAAATTGGCTAGACATAATATTTGTACATTATTGATGAACACACATGATAAATGTGCCCTACAAATTTATATGCCAATGTTTTGTAGTGAAAATTAATAGAGGAGTTGCTATTTTTGTCTAGGGTGGAAGCTGCAACTTTCTCCAGTAAAATATGTGCCTTTACAAATTCATTTGATTGTGCTTGCATGTATGTATATTGACGTTTGAAATATAATCAAATTATCAGAGGCGGAGCAAAAAAAGATCAGCACCTTGTTTGCTAATGTACATATGTAGGGAGAACTAAAGAGATAAACAGGAAGTTAGAGAGAAATGGAGAGAGATCACCAAGAAGAAGGCAAGAAGCACCCTAAACTTATATATATGTGTGTGTGTGTGTGTGTGTGGAGAGAGTATATATATGTGTGTGTGTGTGTGTGTGTGTGAGTGTGTGTGTGTAGAGAGAGAGCTCACCGCCCATTATTGGTTGCAGTGACAACAATATATGTATATAGAGAGAATTTGATGGAAGAAATGAAAGTTAGATAAACTCAAGAAACTTTGCACTATAGCTAAAGAAAGCATAAAATTATGTAAAAGTTTCACATATAGTTTATTTGATTATTGTTTTTAAGCTGAGGCTGGAAATTAGTGTGAATCTTGGTTAGCATGCATATGAAAACTTTTATATATTTGTTCCTAATTTTATTTTATAGGTAGAATGTGCATTGATATATTGCTTTGTTTGTGAATTAAATAAATTTTTTTGGATGTGTTCATTTTGTTGATTGGTTTATTGAATTTCGAGTGTGCGTGTGTCTATATATATATATATATATACACAATTTAATTTAAGAGCTCAAAATCTCAGGCCTCAAAAAATCAAAATTTAACTTTAATTAAATTGTTTCCCGCTCTTGCTCCGCCCTTGCAAATTATTCATTCTTTCTTTTATTTTACACTAGTGTTCCAAATATAATTATAAATAAAATTTTACTTTTAACTTTATCTTGATTCGATGTAATACTGTATTGATAAAATAGATCTAAATAGCATTCTCTATGATATTCTATATGAAAATAAATTGGATATTTTTAGAGCATCTTTAATGGTGTTCTAAATTATATCTATATTGTGATTTAAGTCTTCAAAATGATCGAAAACCTCTCTAGCAAAAAGATGTAAAGGAAATACAAAGCGAATTTTCTGACAAAACTTGGATTTAGATTCACCAAAAGTAAAAGGAGATGCAAAAGCAATTTTAAATATATTAATTTACACCACCATTGAAGATGTTCTTAGTGTGTTATGAAACATATTTTATGCATGTTTAGTGTTTTGTAAATAGGGAGAAACTATAAAGTTTATCGCAGAATCGGACCAGAGGCAGGGTAAGTGAGGCCTTCGCATCAAGCCCAACATCAAAGGGCTCATAAATTTTGAATTCTTTTCCAAGGGAAAATTACCATAAATCTTACTTTTTAAGTTTCAGTTTCATTAATCAAGTAGGAAATTTTTCTTAAAAAATCGAGTATATCCACTTCACAGTTAACTTGGATATACACCCCACTCCACTCAACTTCCACATATATGTTGAGACCGTCTCCAAGATCTTCTTGTTCTCGAGTAGAGCCTCTATGAATTCACATTTTCAGTCTCACTCATGAGAAGGTTCAAGTCTGTGAGTGTTTTTATTTTCATATGTTTATGATTTTTTGATAATATTTTCTTATCTTTGAATCCATATTTTATTATTGTTTTTATTATGGAACATAAATTTTAAGATCAGAATATTTATGCGAATTTAGAAAAATAAATTTTTGGATAAAAAAAAAGACGAACAAAAATCAAATAATGAGTTTTGTCACATGAATTGATATATTTTTACACAAAATATTAGAAGAAGTGGAGGAAAGGAAATATGAAAATTCTCACATAATTCTTAATTTAAATCTTGAAGTTAAGTGCACATAAAGTTATGCGTGTTTGAAGCTAAGCAGTTGAGCAACTCTAGATTTGCAGAGAAAACTCGATATTTGCCTAAGAAAGAGAATAATTGATGCTTTACAACATTTAAAGAAATCAAATGATTTGTTTCTTAAGTGCTTGTATTATTTACAAAATTTTGCTAACCGTACCAATTGTTTTTATATATGTAGAAAGAAGCTCATGCAAGTTGAAGTTGATTTAAACTTATCTATGATCAACTATGCTTCTTGAAATATTGATTGAATTGACTATTTTATCAATTGAGAAACATATGGTTGACCAATTATTATACAAATTTGATTAATATTTTTCCTTCTAATACCGAGAAAGGCGAGTAGTATTTAAGCAATAGTTTGAAATATTTTAGCGTTTTTATTTGATTATATTATAAATAGTTGAAAAACGACATTTTGTTTACTATTTTATTGTTGAATTTTAAGTAAATGGTTAATTCCGTGAAACTCTTATGGATACTAAAAATGAATGCATACTATGATTTGTTTGTGGCCCAAATGAACTTCATTTCAGGTACTAAAAACCACAAGTTATCGGAACCATAAATGGTAAATTGAAATGTAACATCATAAAATATTTAAGCAATAGTTTGAAATATTTTAGTGTTTTTATTTGATTATATTATAAATAGTTGAAAAACGACATTTTGTTTACTATTTTATTGTTGAATTTTAAGTAAATGGTTAATTCCGTGAAACTCTTATGGATACTAAAAATGAATGCATACTATGATTTGTTTGTGGCCCAAATGAACTTCATTTCAGGTACTAAAAACCACAAGTTATCGGAACCATAAATGGTAAATTGAAATGTAACATCCTAAAATTAGGGTATTTTAAAAATTGATTTAAAAAAAAAAATGATTAGCCCACTCTAAAAGCTCATGTTCAGGTTAATTCTAAATTTAGTTTAACTTAAGAGTACCATTCCGGTTAATCTACAACAATATACGTGACCTTACAATTATAGCTTTTTATAGTAAATCTTCTTCAAATCTTTTAACACTTTTTCTTTCTATTTAGCCCGTGTTTATTTTGGATAAAAATTATATTTTTAATGAATTTTGATAAAAATTAATAAAATATGCGATTAAGAATTGATAAAATTATAAATTTCACGATAATTTAAAATTAAACAAAATAACAAATCTCTTAGCATGGTTCTCATCCTCAATCATATAATTATGGGACAAATAGTGCAAAACGTCCATACTTTTCAATGTCATTGTGTAAAACGTCATTATCATTTTTGTTTTATTTTTTTTCGCATTTTCACCCCTATTTTCACATTTCATTGTGCAAAAGATCATTTTTATCCATTTTTACGATTTTATCCTCATTTCAAATAAAAACAAAAAGAAAAGAAAAGAAAAATAGAGAACTAATTACAACTATAATTTCAAAATTTTAAAAAATTACAAATCACTCACAAAATATATTACATCTATATCAACCTTTTATACCCTCAACCACAATCCATACATACTGAGACTTTGCCATCCTGCTCCTCCTCGATAATCCGTACATACTCAACCTTCCAAAAATTTTCTATTCTTTTAGTTTTATAATTTATTAACATTTACCAAATGCTTCTGCGCACCCTTTTGTTTTCCAAAAATCTCAAGCATGGAAGATATGCTCTTAGTAAAAATCTACTAAAGATGGGATTTTTATCGTATTTGATAACCCCGCTTCGAATTCCCCACCAATTAATGCGGAGAACTTTAAATTTATTAGAAATTACTTTTCGAGGAATCATAGGAGTGAAGATTCCACCGAGTGGACTGGGGAAATACAGTATTTCAATGAGTTAGGAAGTGTTATTTTATCTGATAAGGGAATAAGATCGGTCAAGCCAAATGTTGACAACCATGTAATGATTGGAGGGATTAAAAAGGCTATGTTGAATGCCTATGCTGTTAAGATGGTTAAGGTTGTAAAGAAGTGGTGATGGGGCCCTAATCTGAAATGGAGGGGGTAAAATGATGGTATAGATTTGGTATATTTTGTGAGTGATTTGTAATTTTTTGAAAATATATGGTTATAGTTGCAATTTGTTCTCTATGTCCCCCCCCCCCCCCCCCCCCCCCCCCTTTTCAAATAAAATCATTTTTCTTTTTAAGTACATGTTTGATATTGATTTTTTATTAAAAAATTTAATTTTTTTATCATTACTTCAATCGTTATTTTTTACTTTTCTTACACATAGGATTCTGACAGTTAAAAAATCAATTCTCCAAATCAACGTCAAACAAACCAATCAGAACATAGAAAGTCAAAATTCACAACACGCGTGATGACACGTGAAATAGTAATGATTGGAACCGGGGAATTAAAGGACACGTGGCAATCGTTAGGCATGGTGGAGTTGGAATGGAAATTCTTTACCTTCCAGAAACTTCGGCTGAACTCCTGGCTAAAATTGCCCTAAGCATCTACCGAACTATAATTCGCCACGTGTAAGCGCGTCACGCGAGCATCCTACGTGGCACCGCCATTCACCCGAAATTGATACGCCTTCTTTCAAGGCACTTTCCGTGCACACAACAAAAAACTCACTCTTGAGCGATTTCAAGTCTCTATCGAATATATTTCTTGCTGAAAGAGTTGAAATAAAATTATTGAAGGATCTAATTTTAATATTTTTAGCTTTTTCAGGGGAAATTTATAGGAATGAATGGGGATGGGGAAGGATTTGATGAAGGTGTGAAAATGGAGAAATTGGTGTTTATGTGGGGGTATTTGCCAGGGGCATTGCCTCAGAGATCGCCAATACTGTCCCCAGTGGTCGTGCGGCTACCACCTTCGAGCATCGCCAGAACTTCCTGGAAGGATGTCTGTGGTGGTGGTTGTGGTTTTGCCATGGCCATTTCAGGTAATTTCTTCTTCTATTTTTCTCTTTCCCCGTCTCCCAGATCGTATATTAGTTGGTTTGATTTGGAGTACTTCATACTCAGCCTTGAATCCAAAAGAGAAATTTTTGAGTTAACTTTTTACATTATTACTGCAGCATTGGAGTGAAGTATTGCTTCAAATGAAACCGATGTTTTTGTTTGACTATTCTTTGAAATTCTTTCTTGGTCTCCTTGACCTGTCAGTAGCTCCGAGAAGCATGTAAAGATTTTGCCCTCATCTGAATCTCATTACAATAAATTCCATTTTTCTCATTCTCATTTTCAACCACACAGTCTTCCCTAAAATAATGTTATAAGGAAATCGAAAACTTTTCCTTCCTTTTTTCACCTTGTTGCTTGTCAATGGGAACATATTGAAGAGCAGTTGTGCTATTTGTACGGACCCATCTGCACAGGTCTGGACTCTAACATGGGGGTGGACCCCATTGTACGGACCCTGTGCAAAGGGCAGGAGCTTTATTCTTTGACGAGCCCTAGATTGGCACTTCAAAATCTTTGCTTTAATTCTTCTCTGTTTTCTTATATTCAAAGTCGACCTATTGTGGGATTCCTTAGCACAATTGAGTTTTCTTTAAGATATTTCAAACTTTGCAAATGTAGCTTTCAAGGTTTAACTTTCAGCAAAAGAAGTTCCTTTATCAAAAATGTATTCAACTTTGAAATGCCATTCTCAAAGTATTCCTTTTGGTTCTCGAAATAAAATGTAGTTGGACATGGACCTTTGGAATTTTTATGTAGTTTCTGGATGAACAATGCAAAAAGTTGAGTGATTTATTTACTATCTAGAATGCTTTTGAAGGCTGATTTAGTGTTTTACATTTGAATTTCATTGCATTTGAAGATTGAAACTATATATCTCTCATAATTTTCTAAGTTGCTATTGGCAGACTCTGGAAAGCTCATTACTTGGGGTTCAACAGACGATTTAGGTCAAAGCTATGTGACATCTGGGAAACATGGGGTAGTGCAGTGTGACATAATATTCTGATTTATCGAGTTGTCTTTGATTTTTTTCTTTATGACCTGTTTTTCCCACTGATTTTGTTAAGGAAATGCCAGAGCCTTTTCCAATTCCTACTGAGACCACAATAGTGAAAGCTGCTGCCTGTTGGGCGCACTGTGTTGCTGTAACAGGTATTGCTGATCTGATTTTCACTGCCTCAATAAAATTAAATCCACATCTCCGCTTCATAAAACAACACCAACAGAGATTTATTTAAACCTCTGCTCTTCTCTTTAATCTGCTAATGGATCTCATAGTGACCGATAATTTCATCTGCTTCAAGTACTAGTTTTCAAACAAGTTAAACACGGCATCATTTAGTTCGCACAAATTACATTTGGTGTAATTTCTTGTATAACATTTCCATGCTTGGACAACGGATCATCAAATGCCAAGAAACATTCTAGTAAAAATTTGGATTTCTACACAAAAGAAAGGAAATTGATGCCCTTTCCTTTGAGATTCCAATATAGCAGCCCCAAGAAAAGATGAGTGCTTTACTGCTACTTCTTGTGCATATGTTTCTGGCTACATTGTTGAACTAAATCAAGTTCAATTGTCAAATGCAGAGAGTGGGGAAGTTTACACTTGGGGATGGAAAGAGTGTATTCCCTCTGGAAAGGTCTTTGGTAGCCCATCAACAGGGTTAAGCATAGAGAAGGATGTATTTGAGAAACAGAGTTTGTTGACTGAGCAAGGTATACGCTATCCGGCATATGTGTAAGTGATATGCAAAGTCTTTTATGTATATTATGCAGACTAATATGCTGAAGAGTGACTGTTTCAGTGAGCCCTCGTTCCCAGGGATCAAGATCCAGTGGTGGGACAGTCTCTGGTAGTGACAGTAGAGGAGGGGACGAGACTACAAAGCGGAGAAGGGTATCTCCATCCAAGCCGTCAGCTGAAAGCTCATCATCAGGTGATGAAACTCTTTCAGCGTTGCCATGTTTGGTAACATTCAACCCTGGAGTAAGGATTGCCACTGTTGCTGCTGGTGGTCGGCATACACTTGCATTGTCAGGTAAGTAATTTGTTACCTTGTTGTATTGCAATGTGCCACTTTAAAGTTTTCAAAAGCAGGATATATATCTTGTTTTTCCTCCGAAGTTTCAGATATAGGACAGGTGTGGGGCTGGGGATATGGAGGTGAAGGGCAGCTGGGATTGGGTTCTCGGATCCGAATGGTGTCCTCTCCACATCCTGTACCCTGCATTGATTCCTCTTTCGCCAGAGATCACTCTATGAGCCTTTCTCGTGCGAGCAGGGGTTCAGAGGGTCAAGGTTTTAGAGTTCCTGGAAATTATATTAAAGGAATTGCATGTGGTGGAAGACACAGTGCAGTAATTACGGGTAGGGGTTTTAACCTTTCTTGTCAGATGTCTAATACTCTGAATTTTACTCTACTTTGACAAGCCAATATATTAAATACTAATCATCTTCAGCCTTGCAGTCAACAAGACTACTTATGCTTCATACTCTCTTTCTGCTTCCATCTGCGATCTGTTTAATTATGTTGTGTACTTCTGAGATATCTCTTACTTTATTGCTAAAATTTCAATCCATCAACGTGGATCTTACAATGTAATTTTTGTTGAGAACAGATGCCGGGGCACTTTTAACCTTCGGCTGGGGATTATATGGTCAGGTGAGTGTCCCCTAAATGCTTCATGAGTTTTACTTTGTCTTGTTTGTATTACACTTTTATTGTCATGACACGTGAAGGTCTCAAATCCTGGTTTACCTCTACATTAAGGTTGTCCTCAAAGTTAATGTTTATGCTGTGTTGAGTGATTAATCTAAAGAGTTTTAGGAACAAATTGGCATACTTCATGTTTGTGATTTTGTTATTTTTTCCATTGCAGCTCTTTTGTCACTTATTATTTGATAGACTGATGCCTACTACTTTGGAAATCGAACATCGCTTTGCTTCCATTTAAATGAGTGCAATGCTTATGTTAATTGACATTCAAATAGCATGTTTGGATTGGCTTAACTTATAATTTAAGTTGGTCAAACTTTAACTTTAACCACACATTTCGTAGGACTCACATATACTGACAACTATTATCCACTCATTATCTACAAATTCCATATGACCCATGACATTTCCTCCACTATTTTTATCTACTTATAAGTTAAGCTAATACAAACATATCAAAAGTTAAACTAAAGGGGAAAAGAACACTTACCCAAGAGTTCATAGCAGCTGTCTTAATCAGGCACCTTAGTTTTAGCTCTTGATGTATTAACCTAAATAAGGTAGTATACTTCACTTTGCTTACGAGTAGAGTCTTAGATATTGAACAGTCACCCTTAGGATTAAGTTGGTATATCCCAGTCTCCCCAATAATCAACTTCCAATAAACTGTTATCCCCAGTGCCCCTCAAGGCACCCTTCACCTTGATATGAAATAAAATCTGTTTTTTGGCTATTTCTTTTTGGTTATTTATCTGTCACGTTTTTACAATTTTAACTATATAGTCTAATAACTGAAAACAAGAGAGTCAGTTAACTGTCATCAGTCTGATTTCTTGTTGCTAACAAAGTAGTCAGAAGCAAGTGAACAAAGAAAATATATTTCTCCTTTCAATGCTCCACCCCTTCTTGGTTGGATCATAGTGGTCCCAATTGGACTTTGAATCTATCGTACTGATATTTCCAAAAAAAATAAAATAAAATACTGACATTTGTAGGTCGTATGCAGGCGAAGCCAATCCTCTGACTAGGTCATATTTTGTTTTGCCGAAATAAGATAATTATGTGATATATCAATTGTCCAAATCTTAATCTGTCCATATGATGACACTGATACCAGAAGACAGGGAAACATTAATGCTTTTGTGAGGTTAAGGCTATGATTAAAAGACATAATGAAGAACTAATGCTGTGGAGATGCAAATTAAAAATTTTAAAAACCATGGAGGTGTTCCTATGGGGCATCTTTTCATGGTAATTCCTCGTGATGCAGTCAGAATGTGAGCCTCTGTTATTGATATAGTCAATTTCCAAATCACTTATATCACTTTTCTAAAAGAAACAAATTTGTCTCTGTCTTCACCTCCGTTGTAGCAGATTCTTTCCCATGTTTCTGGAGATCATAGTTTCTGTACAGTAATTTGAACTATAACAACATCTGAAATTCATCATCCCCTCTTCCACCACCCATAAGCAAGTTATTCAGATCCACCTTGCATGTCAAAAAGAAAAAAAAGGCCAAAGAGGGAGATTCTTACCTTAAGATGAGTAATGGATTATGACAAGGGTGCCGAAAATGTGATCGATATGCATTCAGTTTCTTCCCTTGGTTTATAGTAGAGGAGTACATATGCAACCAGCACCTGTATACCTCTAGCTATGACATGGTGAATGTTGGTAGTTCCATAAGAATGTATTTTATCGTTCTTTCTTCTATTTCAATGTTTTCATGTAAGCATGAATTTGGTAACAATAAATGGTTTGGTTATGTGATGTAGTGTGGCCAAGGAAGTACAGATGATGAGCTTAGTCCTACTTGCGTATCTTCCTTACTTGGAATTAGGATAGAAGGTGTTGCTGCAGGGCTTTGGCATACTGTCTGCATTTCTGCTGATGGTGATGTATATGCATTTGGTGGGAATCAGTTTGGTCAATTAGGAACTGGAGCTGATCAAGCCGAGGTACATCTCCAGCTTCCCTTTGTCTGAATACAGAAGATTGTGCAGGTGTACTTGGTCATCTTAATAAAAATGACTGATATACTTGGAGCATCACACACCAAGGAAGGTTTTCTGAGCATTACCTGGAAATATGACAATGTGCATGCAGAACCAGAATTGTTTCTATTGAATTAACAAGATACTAAAAATTATTGTTTCACGTGATTTTGAAGCCATTCTTGCCATATTTTAGACCTTAATAACTTGTAAGTTCGATTCATTTACTTAGTCTGATCCATTTATTGAATCTCTATCAGACATTGCCTCGACTCCTGGATGCTCCGAGTTTGGAGAATGTGAATGCAAAAATTGTATCATGTGGAGCCCGTCACAGTGCTGTAGTCACAGGTATGTCAATCACAGTGCTATGGCCGAAGGTATGCCATTCTCTGTGACGAACAAATTTGGATCCCGCTAACATCTTTAGTAATGCATACTACAAACATTCCATGATGTGTTAGGTCTACTGCTATCTTTATTAGTAGAGAATATAAGTACAAGTTATAGGATAAGTCAGTATAGAAGATTTACAGGAATTTACAAGAAGAGACTCTCGAGTTTTGACGATAAACCTATAGACAAAGTAAATTCATCTCTACTTCAACAGCTTTAGTTAAAATGAGGTAATTCAACATGGGTCTAAAGTAGGCCAACGTTGCAAAAATCATTATTCAAAATCCCAAGATAAGGCTTTATGAAGCAGATAAATGGGAATTATTCTCAAATTTTGACTCTTTTACACATTGCACCTAAAATTCTCCATCATGGTGCAGTATCTTTAGCTACTGGAGCAAGTGAAGGAACTAAAAGACAGTGCTGGTGTTCTAGCGAGTTACAGTCAATTAATGAATACCTTCTACCCCATTATTGAACACATTGAGACGGTTGTGATTTGCGTAAAACCATACCCACCTAGCGAAATAGCTAGCATTGTAGATGGTTTTGGTCAACAATGAGCCTTCGCCCCTCCTTCCAGGCTACCCTATTATTCATCACGTTAAGGTTTTCATGAAAAAAACAATATCACATTTGAGAAATATCTAGCACATTGCGTGGTTAGCCCAACTAATGAACTCTTCCTCTTGTACTCTATAATTGATCATAGGTTGTGAAAAACCAACAACACGGGCACTTAGAAAAGCTGATGCCAAAGTATTTGAAAAACTATGTTGCTTTATTCCAATTTTTTTTTTTTTTTTTGCTGAACAGTCTGTTATTTAGAAAAACCCAAAAGTTTTTGTTCCATTGATAACTTCTGATTTTGTATGAAGTTGGTCCTGTTTTTCTTGTTGGGTCCTTTTCCCCTAACTGTCCGCTTTCATTTGTTTTATGAAGATGATGACAGAATATTTTGCTGGGGCTGGAACAAGTATGGTCAGGTATGCGTTCAAACTTTTGGATCAATTTACATGAATCAAACATCAAAATAACCCCAAATGATTTCTTATTATTTTTCTTATTATGTTGTTTAAAATGAGTTCTTCTCGTGCACCTGAATAATCTAAACAATGACTGGGCATATGCCATAGGTCATCTTCTTTATCTGAAAATGTATTTTAACGACAAGTAATTTTTCTTGAACCAGCTCGGTTTGGGAGATGTGATTGATCGCAATATTCCTACTCAAGTTCCAATTGATGGATTCATTCCAAGAAACGTTGCATGTGGTTGGTGGCACACTCTTTTGTTGGCCGAATCACCCACTTGAACGTCTCTCTCTGATGGCCTGGCACAATTTTGTTAGGTAGAAGTTTTCTTTCATGGGTATTAACAGGGTTCTATGTATATATACACAGTTGTAGCTTGTATCCATCCATATGCGTATACTCATGTAATCATTCTTTAATCGTAAAGTTCTTTGACGGATCATCTCTATTATCACTGTGGTCGATAGACAATGGTGTGTAGTGGTGAAGATAATGTGGGTCCATTATGTGTTGTATATTCTTATTGATGCATGTTAAACTTTCTCATGTATGTAACTGATGGGAATGCTTCTACTGCTGCAAATTATTTTAGGTTCATGGATTATGGAATAGTTGTAAGGATTTGTTTTGTTTTCTTTCTGCTCTTTTTGACACAAGGAGTTTTGCTTTCAAGATATTTTGAACTTGACGATTCCTATTAATATTATAGCATCTCCAGCCACCTCTCCGCCCAGTAAGTGTATTTTGTTTGAAAAATGAAGAGCTGCCCGAGTTGTTAATGACGAGCCGTCAACCATATTTTGCAGTGAAATATGAAGAGATTTTACGCTTTCCCTTTTTATTTCCTTCATCTCTTCTTTTCTTCTTCTTCCTCTCTCTCTCTCTCTCTCTCTCGGAGTCTCTCTCTCTCTCCCTCCCCTACTAAAAATTCTTTTGGCTTAAAATAATGGCACGACTATTTTTCCAAGTAAAGGTTGTGAACAAATTTATCTACTAGAGGAACGCGACAAAACTGTAAAAGTGGGAGATGATGTTGCCAAGAAAAATAGGTTGGGAATATGTTGCTATAAGAGTAGTAGGTGAGGGACCAATGTCATAGTTCTCGTTGTTGTTAATATGAGTAAATTTAATCAATGTTCACTCAACTTTAATTGACATTACTACTTCACCGAAGTGTAAAATATAACTCGTTGTTCACCCATTTATCCAATTACTTATCTATTCATCACCCATTTAATATCTTTCAACTTCAACTAACGGAATGTGCCACATGGCGGACGGAAATTTGACATGGTTGGCACATTTTCACCTTTCATTGAGGAAAAATGTCATTTTCATTCAATTTTTCAATAAAAAAAAAAAAATTAAAAATATGCCTTCGTATTTAAATAAAAAAAAAAATCGCACAAAAGGGATTGAGTAATTCGTTTTGATTACTCAATCCCTATTATGTACAAATCTCATAAAATATAGTTAAATACACGATTATTTGCAAAAAAATAAAAATAAAAAAATTGTTTACTCTATTTTTGTATTTATACACAGATAACTTTCACTTCCTATTATTTTCACAATTTTTTTTTTAATCAAAGCTTGATCTTTTTTATATACAACGTCAAGTATTTTTTGTTCCATATTTTATTATATTGTTTAACTCAAAATTGACTTTTATATTTTATTTAACAAGTTTTAAATAAAATAGGTGATTTTAAGTGAGCTTATTGTTCTTTCAATTTTGCTCTCTTTAACAACTACATTGGGTATTGCCAATAATGTACAACTACAAGTTAAAACTCGTGGATTTGTCTCTGGGAATGAGAGCTACTAAATTCCTAAAAGTAACTTGCAAAAATAATTAAAATGTTGTCCAAATAATTAAAATAGCGTTCTTACTATTTGATCATAATATAAATTGCATGGCTACAAGTATTTAAGTCATCATTTGAAATATTTTCGACCTTATTATGTTTTTGTTGTTTTATTGTTGAGTTTCAATTTAATTCCATAAAACTTTTATAAATGAAAAACTTTTGAATGCATATAGCTCGAGAGCCTCAGGACTCATATCGTTTACTTTAGAGTTCCATTATGCCTTCTACTGTCTCATTCTTTTGCTGGAGATTTTGGCAGGATCTTATTTCATTGATGTTGTTATACAGAGGTGAATTGGATGTTACTTGACCTCTCGATGCTAGTATTGTTCTAAGACAGAGACTATCACTTATCTTTTCACCGGCAATAGTATTTCAAGTGTGGCACCATTTATGGGGGTATTTTTCAGATTCCTATGACATCATGAGAGAGCATCAGACAGAGATTCCAAAGATAACTGTATTTTGGATAGCACGTACGGAGTGGTCACATTCACATCATTATCCTTTTACTATATTTTGGATAGCACGTACGGAGTGGTCACATTCACATCATTATCCTTTTACTAATTTTCTAGTTTTTGTGGACCGAGAAGAATGATGTGAAGCATAGGGAGATCCGCATGGTGCTTAGGCACATCATTTGGAGAGTCTACCGTATGATATTTTTTCTTCACATGGGAGGATTATTTCGAGATTCACATTGGAGAGGAGATTTGGCTCTCACACCTCCCCTTACACCAGCTATTATGGTTGTATGGCATACTCTACCAATGAAATCTTACAAGATCAACATTGATAGATGCATCAAGGATGGATCTATGAGTGGCGAGGACATCATTAGAGACCACATCGGACATTGCATCAGGGCATTTTTAGCATGATATGGCCCATGTTTGATTTTAGGGGTTGAACTTAAAACTATACTAGATTGGATTCTACTGGCCTACTAAACTTAAGATATCAGTTATTTAGGTTGAGGTAGATTTTATTGTGGCTACTGATAAGTGCAATTTATGTATTTATTTATACCACATGATTAAACTTTGAAGTCGTTAAATTATTAATTTCTATTTTACTCAGGCTAATTTTCTTTTTGTTTTTAGTTAAGGTCCTGTTTGAAGCAATTGGAAAGGATGAAGAATAAATTGGCTATTGGATGCAATATTGAAGATCAAATTCAACACTTGGAAAATTGAAGAGGACATTGTTGAAAAATTGAAGAGGACGTTGATTGCACAATTAAGGAACTCAAGGACTACATTGCATTAACCTAAAAGTTTGATGACTTGGAGAAAATAAGTTATTAATTGGGCCTCAATTTGGAATTAAGTGAAAATTACAAAATCCTAGGCACTTAAAGATCACAATGCAAAAATCAAGGGGGAAGATTTTTTGTTCAAAATTCAGGTATTGATTTAACTATTAATATTAATAATAAAATATATCAACCCATTAATCTAATTCCAATCCCTAAATTTACGTCACTCCATCTTCTCTCTTCACTCTCTTCACTTGATCGACACCTCCATCGTCGCCCACATCAACAATTCACTGTCGAACTCACAGCGACGACGGCGTTGACACGGTGAACCAATTCCACCTAGCACGAAGCAGAATGCCATCACGCTTTTATGGTTTTGGATGGTGGAACAATCCACCGTCGAACTCATAGCGACGATGGCATTGATCCAGCGAAGCAGTTCTACCAAGCGCGATTTTGGGGGTTTGGGTGGTGGATTATTGTGAGTTCTTAAAGAAGCAAATCCATAGAGCGAGGAGCAAAACACATCAACAAGTTAAATGCTGAACTCACACCCCGAAAAAGACTACCCACTCCGGCGACTCTTCACAGGCGAAGCATGTCACCAACGTAAAGTAGAAGTGGTTTGGGGTGGTGGCGATTTTGTGGGTTTGAATGGTGTTTTGCGGTGTTTGTGTGGTGAAGGTGTTTGTGGTGGTGGATTTGGCGGTTGCATTGATTTTGATGGTGTTTGTATGACGGCAGTTTCGTGGTGGTGGATTTGACAATTGAGGTAGATTTGGATGGAGTTTTGTAGGGGTGGTGCGGTGGTGGTAGTGGCGGATTGATTGTGTTTTATTGAATTTGGCTGATTTGGAGGTGGTTTTGGTGTTGTTCGGGGGATTTTATGTGGTTTTTTGTTGGTTGTGCAGGTAGAGATGTTGGCAGGGATGGTGGATTTGGCAGTGGTGCGATAGTGGTGGTAGCGACGACGGTTGCAAGGAGAGGGTGGTCACAATTGACGGTTATGTTGGTGGCGATGATATGTGACCAATTATTTGGTCATCTGTGACTAATTACTCAATTGTGACCTAAAAATTTAATAACATGTAATTGAAAATTTATTTGTGACTAATTAAAAATAATATGTGACCAATTAATTATGATTGACAAATGAACTGTGATCTATAATTTTTTTATTTGTGACTGATGAAATAAACTGTGACCTATAAAATTTTTGATTTGTGACTTCGAAATAAAATATAATCTATACAATTTCTGATTTGTGACTTCGAAATAATTTGTGACTAATTAATTCGATAATATATGACCAATAAATAAAATGTGACATTTACTTATGTATCTGTGACTATTATTTTTATAACTGTGACTTTATTATATTTAATTAATTATATATATACTTTAAATTTGAATTTTTAAACTATTTACCTTACTTTTGAATTGGGTGTAAACAATACACCTGGAATATGATTTTTTTCTCGGGAATAAATTAAATTGTGCCTTGGAGTCAAAAGAAAAGAAAGAGGTGAGATATGGAATAGAAGTGGACTGCTTGGACATTTGGGGAATATATATGCATACACAGAGAGAGACGGCAATTGGGAAAAAAAGGGGAGTTCCTTTTGTGAAATAAAGAGGGCCAGCTGCTGGTAATATATATATATACAATACACACACAGAATTCCGGAGAGGAGAAAACACACAAAAAGACAAAGGGCTTGCCGGCGGTTGGAGACAAAAACATTGGGGGTGAATTATATAATATACATCTCATGCAATTTGGCGGCTGTGGAGGGAATAAGTACCTATACATTCACACGCAACCACAAGTCGGGGAAATTGGCAGAGAAAAAGTGGCTCCTCTGGCTGAATTATATTATATATACACATTGGAATAGCCACTTCCACACGCAGAAAAGAAAAGAATTTGTAGCTGAAACTTTCTAATATATACATACATCAGAAAGCCGAAGCAGAGGGGAATTGGAGGCTGTGTTTGGGCTGAAAAAACAGAGATATATACGCAGAAAACTACCGGTTCATAATTGGAATTAATCACGTGTCGTCGATTTCGTGGTGATATCTTATCAATTTTATTTGTCTGATTCCAACATCATGTTTGGCTAACTCTTTTTATGTATTAGATTAAGATGAAATCGTTATTAATTATTTTCAATTCAAGACACATGAATTAGTTGAATTCTTGCAATTATTGATTAATCTTGCATGCTTAATTATATTATTTGATTGTTTGATCACCAATTAAATATATGGTTACTTGTTGTAGTGCTGGAAAGCTCACAATAGGTTTAGAACACTTCATGATTAACATATGTGAAATAAATTTTAGGAATAAGATTTATCACGTGTGCAATATTTAAGATAACTATGAAATTGAATGCGTTCTATTCATATGAATTCGGACTAGGAATGAGATCGGGTCGTGAATATGATAGAATTATTTTGTCTTGGAAAAAAAAATT